TATATATATATATTTATTTATTTATTTATTTATTTATTTATTTATTTATTTATTTATTAGTTGTTACTTCCCAATGAGTCCGGTGTGCAGCACTCTCTGGGAACGAGGATCTGGCTTGCACGACATTGGGACTTAATTGCGGCAACTACAAGTACTGCACAAGGAGCACAACCCAAGCAGGAATGTGGGAATGCGCAGACAAAGCATCTTCTGAACAACTCGCTGTCTTTCTGGCAAACGGCTCGACAAGCGATACACCCTCATGGATTTGGGCTGTAGTTGTCTTGTCCACCATCGTGCTCATTTTAATATCTGCAGGCACTTTGTGTGCGTGTTTTACCGTAACAGCCCTTCATTATCTTATGTAACCTAGCCTCAGCATGCGATTCCTTAGGTCACGTGGTTGCAATCGATGGGATGATTTGCTCTTGGAGCGCATTTGAATGCATGCTTCAGCCATCGTAGTTTAATGCCACATGAGCGGTGTGCCTGTAGGGTGCTTATACAAGCGGTTCATAAGGAAAAGCGAGGAAAACGAGGAGGACTTGCTCGCTGAACAAGGTGCGTTGCTGGGAACCCCACTAGGACTCAACAGAGCCTCAACAGTGCAAAATTCATAACATGCATGAAGCGTGCGTTCGACTATGTTGCAGATATCGGGGAGGGTTACAACTACGGTGCCACACAAGGTTATTACGCTTGATGGATTCGAGTTACACGAAGCACACCGTCTGTCCACACATTCGAGCAAGTATGAATTTCCGTGTTTCTCCTAGACCTTCATGCAAAGGAGCATGCCAACATGCAGATGAAGAGCCGCATTCCCCGTACGGCCTATTTGAATGCTCGTGTTGCGCGGGGGATGCTTCGCCAAAGTGGTTGCAGAACGTCTGGTGAATGGGCTTTAGCGTTGCAGTACGCTCAAAGGAATCTTGACAGGAGTTCCTTGATTTCCTTGATTCAGGAGGGTTCTCCGGTTCTTCACACGGTGCACCAGCATCTATGCATCAAAGAGGGGAAGGAATGTGAATAGGTGCCCCGGTGGTACTCCCCACCAATTGCAGGTTTCTGCAGCGGAAACCGTTTCCACAAACCCATTGCTGTCGTCACGTGCGTGCGGGCAGTACTTCGTTGTCTATTTAATCTAATGCCGGCAGTTTGCTCTGTGGGAAACGGGTGGGTCGTCGAGCGTCTGCGTATTGTCCCGGCAAAGAGTATGGAATCTATAAGCGCTCTGTAGTGTGAGGCGGTGGCGTTTCATATGATGTTGCTGCTTCTCCTGAACCAAGCTGTTCTGTACACGCGAACAAGGACGGCAAGTGGTTAACACTACGTTGCTCCAGACTCTTTCGCATGAACATGTGTCGCCAAAGTGCGGGGAAATAAATCCACTTTTATCTGTGTGCATGTCTGATTCGTTGTTGGCCACAAGGAAAATTGGCCAGCGTGGCCTAGTAGACGAACTACTCCATTTGGGCTGATTTACACGTTCGTGTACTCACTTCAGTTCAGAGGGGCGGCTACCAGCCATGGCACTGTAGTGCGTATGCACACTGGCTCCGAAGCGAGTGGTTCAAGTGGCGTGAGATTGAACGCTACGGTGCAAGAGCCAAATCAAACCACCGCGGGGCCAACCTGTTCTTGCCATGCCATATTTGGGGAGTAGTTGCATAAGGGCGAACTGCTCCTCGTCGTACCGTGTTGACAGGTGAGCAAGTCATCTTGAATGGAGCTGACCGGAACAATTCGTGCAAATTATTCTTGCTCTGAATGCTGCCGGGGAGCTGGTCTCCCCCATAGTAGGCACATCGCATCTCTGATTCGAGCCCGTTGGTCTTGTTTCTAATTGGGCACAAACCATTGGATCTGCCCTGCCTCGCAGTAACTCAGAATGGCGGACATTATCTACTCCCCTACCACTATGTTGTGCAAGCACTAATGACATGGCCAACTCTACATCATTCTGCGAATACACCACAAGTGTGACTTAGGGATCCTTCCTAGCATCCGGCAGTGGCGCCTCAGACAAGCCCCTCCACGGAGCAATAGAGCGAAATCCACTAAAACAACTCCACAGCACACTACCATCCAACGCCCATTATTGCTGCTCATGTTACTCTGCTGTCCTGTGTTCTACATCCTCAAGACCACTCCTCAGATCACCCCCTCTTCGCTGTCCGCTCTTCAATCTTTGGAGAAATACCAATATGCTGCTAGTCAGGGTGGCACAGGCGCTAAACGCCATACACAAGTAAAAGCGCTGCTGTGTGTAGTCGTAAAGCGACGGAAGCAAACGGTTCAGGGATGCGTCTCTGTCCGGCTAGTAACTTATACTGCGCATCAAACACCGATGCAATGCCGGTAAATATCTGGGGCCAGCAGCGCGCGGGCAGCAAGTCGCTGTTCTCTCGAAGTGCAGTGTCAACCAATCTGGTCTGTTCGTGCATGCTGTGCGAGCCACCTTTCACAAAATGTACACCATGCTGGGGTGAACTACCACGAAAACCGCCCATCATCATACGCTGATTGTAAACGCCACCGTTGGCGCTCTTGTGCTCTAACACTGTGGCTTGATAAGCCTACTGCTGCTCAGTAGTGGCCTCCACCTTGGGCGCTTCAGCGCCTTCGCCCACAGGCTGCTGCTGCTGCTCCTGAGTCTGCAAGTCGCTCGTCCAGAGAGTAAGATTGTCACGCAGCAGCTGCATGATGAGAGTTGAATCCTTGTAAGACTCCTCGGAAACCTACATGAGCAAAACAGCACCCAGCACGCGTACGCAATGGGCATGCACTAAAATAAACCGTCCATCCTTGCGCCCTGCGCATACTTTAACAATTCAAACTCCACACACGTAACTCGAAAAGTCTCCTGACTTACGCTGTCGAACTCGGTTATTGCGTCATCAAATGCCAACTTGGCCATTTCACAGGCCTTTTGTGGCTGGTTGAGAATTTCGTAGTAGAACACGGAGTAGTTCAGGGCCAAACCCAAACGGATGGGATGAGTAGATGGGAGCTCTGCTTCAGCGGTGTCCGTCGCACGCTTGTACGATTCTTCCGCCTGTTCTGCGGAGGCCTTCTTCCCTTCTTCGTTGCTAAACTCGGAAATGTAGCGGTAGTAGTCGCCCTTCATCTTGAAGTAAAACACACGGCTCTCCGAATCCTGGGAACAACTCACGCAAAACAAAGCAATCCCATCAAATCGCCTCCATACTCATGCACTGACGTCGCTCAATTGCGGGCTGCTGTGTGAGCAAGTGAATTGCCAGCCGTGAGGAACGAACCGTGGTGCGAGGGAGCAGCTTGTCGGTGAGAAGGGTGAGGATCTCCTGGCAGATTTTGTTCAGCTCATTCTCAACCTTCTGTCTGTAGCTCGCCGCAAGCCCCTTGTTCGTCATATGGTTCCTGTTAGCCTCCTTCTGCTCGACAGAAGAAATGATGCGCCAACTAGCACGGCGCGCTCCCACGGCATTCTTGTAGGCAACACTCAACAGATTCCTCTCCTCAACAGTTAACTCATCCCCCTTGCCGCCTGGAGTGGAGCTGTTCTGGTCGAGGCAGTTCTCCACCAAATTCTTCATCGCCTCCGCCATCTCTGCAACAATGCGTAACACAACACGAGAAAACCCCACATCATTGAGCAACTAAACACCATGCAGAAATTTGAAAGCTACAGCCACAACATGGACTCCACTCGCCCAAAGCGAAAAAAACAGTCAATATCGTCATCCGTATACAACGGCGCGGGCTGCCCTCAAGCCGACCCCTTGGGCTCCCAGCTCATCCAGAGGAACGAGCAGGCACTCCTACCAGACGCGGTCTATATCAAACATTTGACACGGAGAAAAACAGACAGAAAGCCTACAACCGACTGCCTCCAACCAACTCCCCCCTGCCACCCCGGCACACCCAGGGCCACATGGTAAACGTAGGCGGCACGGGGAGCAAGATGAGGAAAACACCGCTATTGTGCATACAGTGGAGCTGCCGCGACTGGTGGTTGCCACCAGAGAGGCGTTCAAGGCCTCCATTCATGCTGAAGCAGCCGCGCCGCCACGCCATCAGCGCATCCCCCTTTGGTCAAAAGCGCCAATATGAAAGGGTAGTGGCTCTATCTCAACTGCCGAAGCAATCTGGACCCTTAAAAGAGTGGATGAACCCTCAGCTGCAGAGCTCTTCCCGCGAAAACGCCTACAGCTGGCCGCACCTGCGACCCATCACCCTACCAATCCGGGAAAGCGTGATTGAGGAGGCATTCCTGGGCCACGTGCCATCATAACGAGGGAGACGAATGAAATAACTAAGAACGCGCCACAGGATATGCCGAATTACGGTGTAAATGCAGAAAAAGGGACCTACCGTCATAGCGCTCCGCCTGCTCAGCGAGCTTGGCGCGGTACACATGCTCCTCGCGGAGAGTCTTGATGTCCTCAATCATTTTCAGGCAGAGACACCAGAATAAGAGCTCAGGCACATAAAATTCGCCGTCAGAGGTCACTCTACAGGCTCAAAAGTGCTTAACTGTGAGCAACCAACCCGCCTGCTGGCACGGCGCTTCATCCGCACACTGCTGCTGCTGCCGCCGCTGCACGCAGCAGCCCGCTGCTGCTACTGCTGCTGCTGAACTGACAACACCCCGCAGTTGGGACCATCTTATAATATTATTTTGCTGCATTAATGCGATAGTTGCAGTTTCTGGACGTTCACTTCCCTTTTATTCCAGCTTCAGTTGCACACATGCTCAAGGATTCAATTCCTACGCGCTTCACAACAAGAGGGGGTTAGTTGGGCCCAGCTCCGTCCGGTGCATCTAGGGAGGAGGGTCTGCCTTTTGTTAGCTATTAAATAGGAATTTAGCTAACATTTTTAGTTTTGTGACGTTTTATCATTGCTGTTATACATCCATTAAGACTGGGGCCCTAATGATCTCCAGTTGCAAGTTTCCCCCACTAACTGTATGGCCCCCCACAGCCAGCTGCATTTTTTGTCATGCTTGGCATTGTGAAGCATTCCCTCTTCATGCTACATAGTGGATCTAGGAACGGCGTTTTGTAGCCTTTTAGTTGTATTCCTAGCGGGCTTTAGCTGCACCATGGATTTGAATCGGTTCGGATCGTTTTACAAGCACCTTGCCTAGTACCAGAGAGCCAGAGTGTCGAGGGCAGGAGACCACGCTTTTGCACTAGCTTAATAGTACTCAACGTCCGTATGCACGACAATTCTTTGTTATGTTGAAGTCACCTACACATTGGTTAGTGTGCAGCGTAGTCTTCAGTGTAAAATAGGCTGTACGATGTTTGTACCGTGGGCCCTGAATCATCTGCGAGGACCAATGCGAACCAAAGGAGCAACAATACTTATTATTAGGATTCCTTAAACTCAAGCGAACTACCTCACCACTCTCTAGGCGTTAGGACCGCAGCGGCTACAGCGGCTGGTGCTGCGGCAGAAGACACGGCCTGTGGTGAGTTGCAAAGCAGGTTGCTGCCACCGATAGTGCCAGAGAGCCCTACATACGAGCACAAACGGGCTAATAGCCAGTGGCTAGGATGATCTGCTTGCATATCGTTTGCCTACTAGGGGCCGGTGCGGATTCAAGTTCCCGTTTCACACAGGTTTGCGCATAACGCACAGACTATGTTACACATCGTCTCCGCGAATACAGAGGTAGAGTGGACAACAGTATGACAGTCCGCAAGCGCAATACCCTGCCGCAGATGCTGGCAGAAGCACCAACGCTGAAAATCCCGCCAGCAGCGATTGGGAAGGTGCCGAGAGAATGTCTTTGCTACGCCAGTGGGGGTCAAGACAGTGACTGCAGTTTGGTGGTCTGGGGATAGTTCCATTGCTGAGTGTGCTGTAGCAATATCCGCTGCTTCTGACACCCGTCTTATGCGTGTTACACATTTTAATGTTGGCGTTACGCTGTCAGAGCGAGCGTTGCAAAAGGCACTTCAACTACCCATGCCCCACCCAGTGCGCAGCTCCGAGCATGTTGCTAGGGCTGCGGCATCTGCAGAAGCTGCGAGGGTTGTTTCCGTTGACGCTGGCGAGAGTACTGATGCAGCACAATTTGAGCTAGAATCACGGTGATGATCGAGCGCTTGGCCGGTTGCCAATCCGACAATTGCTGAATTGCAGCAGCACAGCACGTTGAAGCGGCATATTTCGGGACAAGAAACTTGATTACACTTTAGAGAAGCGATTACAAGAGCATTAGGTAGGGGAAGTGCATTTCCTTTCAGCGCATTTATTGAGGCTTTGTTGGTAAGGTGAGCAGAGAAAGTGCTTTAGCTCCCGCTAGTTTCCTATTTTTCTGGCATTCTGCACCCAGATATGCTAAAACAGTCTTCTTCTCTTAAGGTTCGTAACCAGGTAACTCGAAGGGCAGAGTGTAGGGGATTACCTGCGAATTTAGAAATTTTGAGCCCGTTCTGTGGATGTAGACGCAGAATTGCTCCTTCAATAGGAGGTGCAGTGCACAGGCAGAGAGAAAGTTCGACGGTTTGGGCGCTCAGCATGTCTTTCTGCTTGCCAATGCTCAATGCGTGAACTGCTGTGGGGAAAGCCAAGCACTTGTGAGAGTGGAGCGCGGATCCTCGATCTCATCCGAGGACTAATGTGATCTGTATTGTAGTCACAATAGTTCAGATGAGAGCTTTAATAACTGGCCTGTTCCCAACTCTCTAGGCGCCCTGAGCTTAGCAGCTCAAGCGCCTGGAAGTGCTGCTAAGGAAGGTGTTTGCCATGAGTTGCAAAGCCCCTCGTTGCAACTCAAGGTGCAGGACAATGCCACATATATATATATATATATATA